ATGCCATTATAAAATAGTATGCATTAATGTTATAATGAAGATTGTATTTCTCCCCTTATCAGTGGTGATTGATAACCAGAAACATTTCACAGTCTGCACTACCTTGTGTATGACTATAGCTGTCTACATAAAAATTCAGAGCATTAATGTGTTGCAATAGAGACAGTTATACTTTCATTTCTCGTGGTAAAATAAAAATTCTTTTGTTATTCCTATTCAATCAAAGTTTGAAATATTCAGTTCATATATCAGCTGCTGCAGCAGTTTGCTATTGTGTTAAAGCTATAATATCACTGTGTCATTAAAAACTTATGAATTTATTATAATTATTTCTTAAAGGATCCATTATAAGATGTTATTGTTCTGAATCACATTCACACATAAATCTTGAAGTTATGGTCAGCTCAAGTAGATACTGTATATAAAAAAGAAACTGTAATCACCCCACCAAAATGCTTCATAGTCTTAATGAAACAATAATCAGCTTATATAGATCTAACTGTCATGAAAATTACTAGCAACTACGTTACTATGAAGTTTTATAGTCTAATTAAAACTATTATATCAGCTCTAACTGTCAATAAAACTGACACTATAGTAAATGTAAGCAACGAAAATAATATTATTGACATAGATCTAATGATCATAAACAGCCTACCTGTTCTGAAACTGCTAAAATGATGAAGTTCTTATCAAAAACTTAAATAGAGCTAATAAAAATTCCCTCCTGATGCATAGATATCATTCTTTCAGACAGATCAGTCAAGTTTCAATAGAGATCCGCGAGCGTTCCGCGTTGATCCGCATTTCAGCCCGATCCGCATTTGATCCGCGTGGATCCGTATTTCAGGCAGGCCCCTTTTCAACAATCCTGGCTACGCCACTGGAGTTGTTAATGGGGAGACAATTAAGAAATAACATTCCCAATGTAGAAGAGAGCCTAGTTCCCAGTTGGGAATACTTGAAGCCATTTAGAGAGGCTGATATTTTGTACAAAGAGAAACTGAAGCAAAATTATGACCATCACTACAAAACCAGATCACTTCCCTCTCTACCTGATAACAGAGAAGTTTATATAAGGACAGGAGGTCGAGCACAAGCTACAGGAGTAGTTACTGCACCCTCTGGTCAACCTAGATCTTATCAGGTTGCAACTGACAAAGGTACTACTACCAGGAGGAACAGAAGGGATCTTATCCCTATCCCTACAGCACCCCTAGGGGCCTCTCAGAGCCAGGAGGAACCTCCTACCTCTACCCCACGAGTATCAACCCGTTCTACCACTGGAACCCCGATTCGACCACCAGTTCGTCTCACTGCTTGGAAAAGGGGAGATGTGGTGTAACTGTACTTGTAATGACATGTATAGTTATGCATACACTAATTATTAAGTACACTTTTGATTTATTATAATACATTACAAACTCTAACCAATTAAAGTAACCACATGTTTGATAATGTGAAGGTGTACATGTACCAGGTGTCAATCGTGATAGTGTTAAGATAGTGATAGTACATAACTATCCCCAACCATCTCATATATCAATACTATCACCCAGCACTAATTAAAATACTTAATGAAAATCAAACCTGTACAATTATGACCACTATCATCAACTGCATAGCCGGTCTCACAAGAACAAGTGTAACTGCCATTAGTATTATCACATATTTCTTCACATCCTCCATTATCAATGATGCATTCATTAATATCAGTACAAGTATGATTATCAAATTCTAGTAAATACCCAATTGAACAACTGCAAAAGTAACTTCCTTCTGTATTTCTACAATCATGCGAACAACCTGATGATTGCTCAAGGCACTCGTTGATGTCTGAAGATAGGAAAATTTTAAAAGGTATAATTATTTGTTTTTACCTGTACAAAATTTTTTATTTTGTAATTTGAAGCCATTCATGCATAAGCAATCAAATAATGGTATCTTGTTAATACAAATATGTTCACATCCTCCATTGTTAGTAGTACATTCATTGATGTCTATTTAAATCAGTACAAATGGTTAATATAATTGTAGTAATCATACCCGAGCAGTTTCTTCCATCACTATTCAAATAATAACCATTATTACATGAACATGAGTAGCTACCATCAGTATTATTACATATTTGCTCACAATCACTGTCTATACATTCATCAACATCTAAACTTTTAAATAATATGGTGTTATATTAACTATATCTTTTACCTATGCAAGCGCTTCCATTTGAATGCAGTATGTAACCAACTTTACAATTACAGTAATGACTACCAGGAACATTCTTACATATCTGATCACAACCTCCATTACTGGAATCACACTCATTTATATCTATTAGGTTAACATATAGTTAAAAGGATAATTTATAATCTTCTAACCAGTGCAGTTGTGTTCATCAGTATTCAGACTATATCCAGTGTCACAGCTACAAATATATGAACCAACAATATTAGTACAGGTATGATCACAGCCACCATTGTCTTTAATGCATTCATTGTTATCTATACAATCATCATAGAGTTAGTTACCGTATAAGTGGTTTTTTCGAGGGAATTATATTTTGCGAAATCTGCTAAAATTCCAATTTGCGGATTTTAATTGTGCAAATTCTACCACGTGCGCCACCCAGGTATCGTATTAAATTGATTTTTGTTGATTTTATTTTTGTAAATCAGGAGGGAATCCGCGAAATTTGCAACCCTCGAAAAAAACACTTATACGGTATTAATGCATACAATGTCTAACCTGTACAGTTGGTGTCACTATTATTAAATGAATATCCTTCCTGGCACATACAGTAATGACCACCATTAGTGTTCATACATATCTGTTCACATTCTCCATTGTTGATGGTACATTCATTAACATCATCACAATTATGATCATCACTGTTTAACTGATACCCAGGCATACAACTGCAGTTGTAACTACCAATAGTGTTGTTGCACATTTGATCACATCCTGATGTTCCTTCAATACATTCATCAATATCTGTATAAGCAATGGAAAATATTACATAGTTATATCAAAGATATATTAATAAACAAACCAGAACAAGTATTGTTAGTTTGAGTATCCAATCTATATCCAGAGTAACATTCACAATAAAATGAACCATCAGTGTTCATACAAGTTTGATCACAAATGTCAGGATTAATCTGACACTCATCATTATCTGTAGTATAACAATCTTAATTGTGTTATGCATTGTATTGATACCTCTACAAGAAATCCCATTTGATTTGAGTGAATAACCAGTATTACATGAACAATGATATGAGCCAGGATTATTGATACAGACTTGATCACAAATATCAGTTCCCATTACACATTCATCATTATCTGTGATTAATTTGTTTAATTCAAGTTTCTGTATGGTATTAATTCACTAACCTATACAGGAATAACTGTCACTGCTCAAAGTATATCCTGATTCACATTCACAGTAGTAGCTACCAACAGTATTAGTACAAGTCTGATTACATTTTGAAATTTCTAATTGACACTCATCAATATCTAAAGTGAAATTTGTAGACTATTAGAGCAAATTTAATAGAAATGACTTACCTTCACAAAAGACACTGCCGTTGTATCCTGATATACAAGAACAATAAAAGCTTCCGTTTATATTAGTACATAATTGTTGACAGTCACCATTATTAACAAGGCACTCATTAGTATCTAAACAATGGCAACATTACTTATAATTATAAACTGCTAAACATTACCTGTACAATTGGTGGTACTATTTTCAATAAACCTGTATCCATTGTTGCATTCACAACTATAGCTTCCATTAGTGTTTGAGCATATTTGAGAACAGCCTCCATTATTATCATTACACTCATTAATATCTATTAAAAGAGCATGTTAATGCCTAATCTTTATTTAATGTACCAATGCATGACACTCCATTAGCTGCCATGATATAACCAGATCTACAAGAACAGTTATGAGTTCCTTCAAGATTAATACAAATCTGATCGCAGCCTCCATTATTTGAACTACATTCATCAATATCTGTAAAAATGAGTGACAGATAGTACTGCATTGAAGCATCAATCAAATCAAACCTGTACAATTATGACCACTTTCATCAACTGTATAGCCAGTCTCACAGGAACAAGTGTAACTGCCATTAGTATTATCACATATCTCTTCACATCCTCCATTATTAATGATACATTCATTAATATCAGTACAAGTATGATTATCAGGTTCTAGTAGATATCCAGTTGGACAACTGCACAAGTAACTTCCTTCAGTATTGTCACAATCATGAGAACAGCCTGATGTTTGCTCAAGGCACTCATTAATATCTAAAAATTAGAATATTTACTTTCAAAAAGATTTTGTTTTTACCTACCTGAACAGAATTTTTCATTTTGTAATCTAAAACCATTCATGCATAAGCAATCAAATAATGGTATCTTGTTAATACAAATATGTTCACATCCTCCATTGTTAGTAGTGCATTCATTGATATCTATTTAAATTAGTACATAAGTTTGATATAATTATTGAGACCATACCAGAGCAGTTTCTTCCATCACTATTCAAAGAATAACCATTATTACAAGAACATGTGTAGCTGCCAACAGTATTATTACATATTTGCTCACAATCACTGTCTATACATTCATTCATATCTACATTTCATAATAAAATGGTGTCATACTAATCAGGTCTTTTTACCTATGCAAGTACTTCCATTTGAATGCAGTATGAAACCAACTTTACAATTACAGTAATGACTGCCAGGAAAATTGTTACATATCTGATCACAACCTCCATTACTGGAATCACACTCATTTATATCTATTAAGTTTAACATCCTTAAAAAGATAATTAATATTCTCCTAACCAGTGCAGTTGTGTTCATCCGTATTCAGACTATATCCAGTGTCACAGCTACAAATATATGAACCAACAGTATTGGTACAGGTATGGTCACAGCCACCATTGTCTTCAATGCATTCATTATTATCTATACAATCATCATAAAGTCAGTTATCAATGCATACAATGTCTAACCTGTACAGTTTGTGTCACTATTATTAAATGAATATCCTTCCTGACACATACAGTAATGACCACCATTAGTGTTTATACATATCTGTTCACATCCTCCATTGTTGATGGTACATTCATTAACATCATCACAATTATGATCATCACTGTTTAACTGGTACCCAGTCATACAACTGCAGTTGTAACTACCAAAAGTGTTGTTGCATATTTGATCACATCCTGATGTTCCTTCAATACATTCATCAATATCTGTATAAGCATTGAATAATATTACATAGTTATATCGAACAGTTATAAATATTAAACAAACCAGAACAAGTAATGTTAGTTTGAGTGTCCAATCTGTATCCAGAGTAACATCCACAATAAAATGAACCATCAGTGTTCATGCAACTTTGGTCACAAATATTAGGATTAATCTGACATTCATCATTATCTGTAATATAATAATTTAAAACATGTGTTATGCATTTGTTATTACCTATACAAGAAATCCCGTTTGCTTTGAGTGAATAACCAGTATTACATGAACAATCATATGAGCCAGGATTGTTACTACAGATTTGATCACAGATATCAGTTCCCATTAAACATTCATCATTATCTGTGATTGACATGACTCAAGTTTCATATAACTGTATACTAACCTATACAGGAATGACTGTCATTACTTAAGATGTATCCTGATAAACATTGACAGTAGTAGCTACCAATAGTATTAATACAGGTTTGATTACATCCTGAAATTTCCAAGTGGCATTCATTAATATCTAAAATAAATATTATATAAAATGATTTAATATAAATGACTTACCTTCGCAAAAAACAGTGCCATTGTATCCTGATATACAAGAACAATAATGACTTCCAATTGTATTAGTACATAATTGTTGACAGCCACCATTATTAACAAGGCACTCATTAGTATCTAAAAAGCATGACAAAACTATTCATAACTATAAAATTCCAAACATGTTACCTATACAATCTGTGGTACTATTTTTAATAAAGTCATATCCATTATAGCATTCACACTCAAAGCTTCCATCAGTGTTTGAGCATATTTGAGAACAGCCTCCATTATTATTGTTACATTCATTAATATCTATTAAAAAAGCATGTCAATGCCTAATCCTTATTTAATGTACCAATGCATGACATTCCATTTGCTTCCTTGATATAACCAGATCTACAAGAACAGTTATGAGTTCCTTCAAGATTAGTACAAATCTGATCACAGCCTCCATTATTTGAACTACACTCATCAATATCTATAAAGAATGAACAGTAGTTCTGTATTAAATGCTTAGTGAAATCACACCTGTACAATTATGACCACTATCATCAACTGTATAGCCAGTTTGACACAAACAAGTGTAACTGCCATTAGTATTGTAACATGTTTCTTCACATCCT